TAAGGCCTGGAGTTCAAAAAACGTGGGGAGTAAATTTCACAGTATGATGTGCAAGATCATATAGTTCGGAATTCATGAGAAGGCACTCTAAAGGGTCATCTGTTCAAAAGTGACAAAGGAGCATTAGCTGAAGCTCTATCTGAACACAGAATAAACAGGAGCCAAGAATAAGATGTGGCTGTTGGAAAAAGTCCTAGGATGTTGTGGACAATATATTTTTACTATAGACATGTAATAAGTCATAGCATTGCACTGAATTTCATTAGTTTTTAATATATATGTATAAAAATAACAAACAGTCTGGTACAGGGGAGATTTCATGATGGTGAAAACCTTACAGAAGCTGGCTTATTTGTAAAGGTAAAATGAAGTCATAGGGAAAAGCATAGTGGGGAAAACTAAGTGAAAGGGTGGTGTTGGCTGAAGGGTAATTAGGTAAAAACTGTTAGTAACTTTATTCCAGATATTAGGAAAAATTTCAAACCCTCATATGAGTAAGATTCCGAAGCAGTAGCATCAGTGACACAAGAATTGGAAACAGCTTTTAGGATAAAGTTTCATTGTTTCCAAAAGAGATGCTATGGGATGGTTGCCTGCAAGGGGGAAAGACTGGACTCCAGCTCTGAAGCAGATTTCTTCCAGTTCTCTGGTACAGCTACAACCAAAAGCTGAGCTGGGTTTCACTTGTGCTCTTTCAGAGATGCAGTGCGGGGAGGGCACGTTAAGTAGTCTGCAGAGATTGCCTTTTTTGCTCATTTCCACTGTCCCAGTTGTCAACATGTTGCAGTACTGCGTATCACGCAAAGAGATTATCTGACCTCATCTTTGCTCTGACTTAAATGAAAGATTAATTTCTAAGATAACACCATTTATAATTTGCTTAATGTCGTTCTGTTTCCAAATACCTGGTTTCTCCAGCTTGGAGTCAGGAGTGGTATTATTTCCTATTGAAAAAACAAGCTGATATGATCTGTGTTAGCATCATTGCAGTGGAAGAAAAAAAGGAGTTAAATGATTAGGTTCTTAAGTTATTGCTAAATTCTGCTTGCTTGCTTTTGGTTTGCTCAATAAACTGTATATTGTGGCAATGTGCCCCCAGCATCCTGGGTTGGATATTCAATTACTTGTGACCATAAAAGCTGATAATCTCGTGACCATTGATGTGAGCAACACTTCCCTTTTCAGTTTAACAGAAATTGCTCAACAGTTACAGCACCTTCCTCCCCTTCCACATGCAATTCAGCAGCACACAGATGCCTGGGCAGAAGCAGCCTTTCATGAGAGCCATGGCGTAAGGGAAACCTACTCAGCCCTAGCTAACAATTCAGATCTAAACCAAGTTACCAGGAAAACCACAACTTCTGTCACCTCAGGATTTATTGTAGGGCTTCTGCAGTTGGGCTAAATTACTCAAACCCAGTTCCCTAGTCAATAAATCCATAATCCATAAAGCAACTTTTACAGGTGGCGTTGTTTGATGCAGTTCAGTGAGCCAAAAAATAATACAGGCTTAGGAAAACATGAACTTTCATTCAATTCAAGGAGGGGTAGCCCAAAGGCTAGAACTTTGGATAAGTGTATTGTATAATTTTGATTAATTCCTCCTTACCTCTGTTGAAGGAGAAAGGCTTGACTTTATCTCCCCTTTTGTAAAGGTGGAAGGAAGAGGGACATACATAAAATGGGTCATTTAAGAGAATCTCAAAGCTAAATGGGATGATATTCTGAGACCAGAAAGTTTATGCTGCTTCAACCTGCATATAAGTTTTCCATCTCTGTGACATGCTCTTCAGAGCGCAAAGTTCTCTGAAAAACATACAATAGCAATGCAGACCAGTACTCCAAGCTTGTTGGTAGGTGTGGTTATGCATGCTCTCTTTAAAAACATACATATACGTACCTTCTTTGTGGCTGAAGAGAGCACTGAAAAGATGTAATTTAAGAAATTCACTTCCAAATAACTGACCAGACATGTGATACTATGTCAACATAGGCAATGTTATTGCAGGGTCATCAGTGATCTATGTGGCAGAGTCCACCACCACAAAGGCTGTTCATGAAGGCAGCATACATTATTATTTACTTTCCTTTAGTACCTGCAAATCTCCATGCATCTGATGCTGTACAGTCCTGTTGTAAGAAGTTTTATTTGTTTCTAAAGGCTTGTTATCTAAGGAAATGAAAAAAGGCAAAGGGTTGAACATAGTATTTTTCTTGGGGAGATAGAGTGGTCATAGTTGAGAGCTGAGACTTGTCTGAGATCAGAGGAGTCTGTGGGAAAGCTGGGAACTGGGCATCGTCCTCCTGACTCCCAGCCTAGTACTTTACCATGTTGGCTTCCCACTTGCACTTTTGCTGGAGGCCCACACTTCAGGAGCTCATTTCAGAATCTGTGAAAATGTAGGTAACCAGCCTCAACTCAGCTCAGTAGCAAATTATTGGGTTTTGTTCCAGTAAGAAGAATAAACTTTCTACTGGAGTGAATGTTCCCTGACTATTCTATTAGAAAACACTACTCAGCTGCTGAACCAGCTGGGCATGCACAGCCTGAACTCTGTCTGGGCACCTGCTGGCAGGACATCGGGAGCTCTGCAGAAAGGAGAACACTAGCATCCAACAGCAGGTACGTCCTGTGCTGTTGGCTGTTTCAGATCTTCCAGTGGGAATACCTAGAAATTATATTCACGATGCGCTAATAAATGATATTTAAGTGCACTAACGAAAAAATCATTGTCTTGCATATGGGAGCCTCATTCAAAGATATAGTTCTTGCTCAAACAAGCAGCTTGACTTTCAAGATCTGCTATTAAGTAAAGCTATAAAATCTCAGAGCAGCGGCCAGTGGGATTTGACCGAAATAAATGAAGAAATGGTGATGGAGGGTATGATATAAAGTCAAAAGAAGTCTGCCACAATAGACTGAAGAAACAGATAATCTTTACTACCTGATGAAATACAGCATGAGTTCATTTGTCACAGCTTAGTGCTTTGTTAAAAAGTCATCACAGCTGTGGCTGCACACTGTGAGCTGTGCTGTATTATCTTTTCAGCGAGTCTGGATGCTGTAATGGAAATAGCATAGATAGCTATCCAGGAGCTTGAGGACTTCACCTAATTTGACTGTATGTTTGTATAAATGTGAAAGTAATTGACACAATCTTTGTGAATCTAATCATACCTGCCATCACTGCTACAAGAGAGAATGTACTGAGTATGGCTGGGAGGATTTCTTTTTGTCTTCAAATTGAATTGGCTATGACAGAATCAAACACTCCCAAACTTGCATTTCTATGGCTGTTTTGAAATGAAACACATGTTGACAAGCTGTTTCTAACAGAATACTTGTTTTCTTAACTGTTTGCTATTTACTAACTGAAAAAGGTGTTATAACAAGTAATTCTTGCTCCATCGGAAAATCTTTACCTCATTTAATACACTTTTCCAGGAGAACTCTGTTGCCCGGTGATCTGTCCCCTGGTAAATCGGTGCTTCTGGGAAGGAGGCAATGTATTGTTTAAAGCTGTAGCCTTTCAGTTGGTAGAGCACTTGTGGCCGTGACTAGCAGGTCATGCATCAGTGCTTAACCACCAATCTTCATAATTCTGATCCAACCTGCAGGTGAAGAATCAAAACAAAAATCAGAGACCCATGACCACATATGTACAAGGCTCCCCACCCCTGCCACCTCTTAAACACCAACAAGGATTCCTTGTGGTGCATGGGAGTCCCCAAAGTACCACATCTCAGTAAATGGTCCAGCTAATCTCCTCACCTAACAGTGGCTCTTGTTAAGCCTAATAACCATCTTGGATATTTTTGGGCTGTCAGTAAAACATTGCCTCCTGTCTTTTTCCTCTCCTGTCTATGCAAGATATACATGAAACAGTATCAGATGCAAAGAAAATAAATATTTGTGCTGGATGACTTGTCTCCTGGTGGAGAAGGGGACCTGGTAGGGGTCTCCCAGGGCAGCTGTGATCCCTCCTGCCACCAGGCTCCCTCCTCCCAGCTGGTTTCTTCTCCCCTGCTCCTTTCCAGAGCAGCTCCCAGCAGGACAAACCCCTCCAGCCCAGGGGTGGCTCTGCCCGAGCCAGGGAGAGCTTGAACTGGTGACTGTGGGAGCTGCTGCTGGGGCAAACTGGTTTCCACTGGGGTTCAGCCCTGCCTGGTGTCACCCTGGCAGGTGATGCCCAAGGGCCGGCTCCAGCAGTGTCACATGCTGCCAATGGGGCCTGCATGAAGCCCTGCTTTTACTGAAACCCTTCTTTTTCAGCTCAGAACATGCTGCAGTGGGAGCAGAGGCCACTCCAGGGATCCACACTGGCTCCTGCAGCCCCGACGGTGACATGGTGAAGCTGCCTGGCCAGGCACAGGGAGTGATGGCTGTCCTGGTGCTGCCAATCCCTTGGGATGTGCTGGTGGCACAGATGAGGCTGCATGGCCATGCTGAAGCTCATCCCCGTGCCTGGGTGAGGACCATGGCGCCGAGGTGGTGAGGTGCCCCATGAGGGGGGTGTCCTGAGGTGGTGCCTGAGCAAACCTGCACAGTGGGACTGACAGGGCCTGGGGGATCTCTGGTGTGACAGGAGGGTCTGGGTCCCTGCAGGGTCCCTGGGGATGGAGGGGTGAGTGGGGGTTGTGGGTCATGTCTCCAGCCATGGGAGCAGGGTGCTGGGGGCTGCCATGGCCCAGGGGTGCTGGGACTGACTGGGTGCAAGGGAGCTGGGCCTGGCTAGAGCTCAGGAAGCAGTTTTGTGTTCAGGACACTTTGGCTTTGTCCCTTGTTGGTAAGGAAAGGGTGAGTGCTGTTCCCTGGCAGAGCTCCCCGTGGGGCCCTTGGGGGGAAGAAGGGATGCCCGTGCCAGAGGGGCAGCACTGGTGGGTTGCTGTGGGTGCTGGTGCACATCCCATGGGAGTTCAGGATGGTGGGGCTGGTGCCTGTGACCACCCAGGTGGCTGGAGGCAGGTTATGGGCACTGGGGTGGCCCCATGGCTCCTATCCCCACAGCCCACCCCAAGCAGGCTAGTGCTGCATGTTTGGCAGGGCTGTGGCTGCAGGTGCCAGGAGCAGGTGGCGTTGGGGTCCAGTCCCATCCAGCCCAGGGCTGCTGGTCATTGGTCTGTGCCACTGCTGCTGCTGCACAGGGTGGGTGGGTTTTCAGCCAGACCTGGCTCTTGTCTCCTCTCCCGGGGTGAAATGGGAGGTTTCTGGTGTCCCATCACTGTTTCTCCTTCCCCTCCCATTGCGTGTGCGCGGCCCCAGGGAGCCGCTGCTGAAAGGGCTGGTGAGGGGCTGGGAAGAGCTTCGCCCGTGCCCGGGAGGCAGCAGGGTTTGCAAGGGAGCAGCTCTGGGGGCTCTTTGGGTCGTGCCATGCTGCAGGGAGCTCTGACTGCCCCATGTCTCCACGTCTCTCCCTGTGCCAGGACAGACGGACAGAGGGGCCACAGCCACACCAGGAGCCACCTGTGCCAGACAGACCTATGTGGGGTGCAGAGCCCCAGGAAAAAAGCTGGGCTGCCTGCACCGAGGGTGATGGCTGCTGCTTGCCCTGGGGGACAGCCCTGCTTGTGCCCACCTGCTCTGCCCACCTGGAAACACTGCAGTGACTTTGCAGCTCCAGCTCAGTTGTGGCTTCAGGTCAGCTGCTTCTGTCATATTTTCTTCTTCAACTTGTGTTCGCTTCCAGTTCACCTGCGGCTCCAGCTTGTGGACAGCTCTGGCTAGTTTCAGCTCTAGTTCATTTCAGGTCCAGCCCATGGATGGCTCCAGCCCATTTGGTGCTTTAGGTTGCTTGTTTCTGGCCCTGTTCATTTCAAGTCCAGCTCATGGAAGGTTCCAGTTTGTCTGCAGCTCCAGCTAGTTTAAGCTCTATTTCATTTGTGGCTCCAGCTTATTTGCTTCTGCCCTCAGTTTTTTTCAGGTCCAGCTCCTGCTTGTTCTTGCTTCAAGAACATTTTAGGCTCCAGCTGGGTTTCAGCTTTTCTGGCTTCATTTTGGCTGCAGGTTATTTGCAGGTCCAGTTCATCGGTGGCTGCAGCTGCTGTTCATTTCGTCTCCATCTCGTTACAGCTTGTGCTTGTTCAAATGGTCTTGGCTTTTGACAGGGTTGTAGATTGATCATTGTCACAGCTTGAATATGAATTGTACATTGTCTGAATATGAACTAATGAGTTAATGACTATTCCAGCTGTTGTACACACTGGGAATAAAGATGGTCTGAGAAGTGTCTTTTCCTCCCCGAGAGGATCTGTCTCAGATGCAGTTGGGCCTGGTGCACGCCGCCCTCCCAAGCCTCGGGGACCGACACGGCCAGACCCTCATCTCCGGTGGGAGTCCACGCACCCCACACCCCGGCCCCTGGGTTTGACCCCAGAAACAGCCGCCCCGGGCTCCGTTTCTGCGCCCCCACACGCAGGGCTCCGTCCCCGCTCCAAGCCCCCAGCCCAGCCCCAGGAGCCCGTTTCCCAGCCCCAAACACGCCCGACCCGCTCCGTGCTGCCGAGCCCCAAACCCAGGACCCGGGGCTCGAGTCCCACAGACCCCCGGCCGAGCCCCTCCTGCGGGGTCGGGGACGGCCCCGGCCGGTGCTCGGGATCCAGCCGGGGGGACCCGCAGGGGGGCCCGTCCCCGTGTGGCCGTGGGCGAGGGTGGGGG